CTGCAGTGGACTTTAGCTTGTTCCAAAATGCCACGGTCTTCACAGGAGGAAGTGGCCTTTCTCATGTCACAGGAGGTATGGGGCAAAATCCTGTTCCTAAACGCCATGAAAGGTGAATGGGAAGAGGTTAAGGAGGCCTATAGATCACAGAGTTCCGAAGTTCAAAAGATGAAGATCACCAGAGCGGGGGACACTGCTCTACATATCGCTGCTTCGTATGGCCTGACAAAAATTGTGTTGCAGTTGTTGGAAATCATTGGAGACTGTGCATCCAAGTCCAACATCTTGAAAATAGAAAATGACAAAGGCAACACACCTCTCCATTTAGCCGCTACAATTGGGGATGTGGAAATGTGCCATGCAATGACCACCATAGACCCCGACCTCGTGTCGTCTCGCAACCATGAGAATGAAACCCCTCTCTTCTTAGCAGCTCTTCATGGAAAGGAAAAGGCTTTTTTTTGCCTTCATTCTCACTGTGAACAAAACTGCCATTCGTTTAGAACAAAAAATGGTGATACCATTCTCCATGCAGCTATCTCCGGTGAATACTTGAGTAAGTGTGTGGCCTACACCCACTTCTCAAATATAATTTTTTAACTTTATTTCATTTTTATTATTAATTTCGTTTTAAAATATATAGGTTTGGCATTCCAGATCATTCTGTGGCACCCACACCTTGTTAATTATATGAATGAGAGTGGCTTCTCTCCGCTGCATATTCTCGCCAATACTCCATCAGCATTCAATAGCAGTAGCCGCCTTAGGCCGTTGGATCGTCTCATATACAAATGTAAGAATCTCTATCGATTATGATCAAGAGTCAAGCTTTTAGATATTTAATTCATGGTATACAACACATACACATGCATGATGGATTTGCACTTTGCATTCTCATGTCTCACTTCGTAATTACGAGGCTTTCAGGGGACAAACTTATGAAAAGAAAGAACTATGATGATATTTTATATATGACCCTTTTTAGGTATATATATTGTATTTCAATGATCTGAACCGTCTATTTTTTAGATATTCCTTTAAAGATCATCTCTGCAAAAAATCACTTAAATCTGAAACCATTTGTTTACTCAATTAGATGGTTTGTTATTATAGTGTTTTCTTAAAGTACTGTGTTCGTCTATTTTGTTGGTATCAACTAGGTGCCTTAATGATTTTCAATTTGCCTGATTTTTCATAAGCATGATCTATGAATGAAGACTTGAAAAATAGACGATTTGGACACATATATACATCTATAATGCTTATATATATATATATATTTGTGTGTACATGTACTTGTTTTTTGAAGACAAAATATATATATAGTTTGATTATAATAAGGGTGTGTTATTCATGTTTCCAGAAGAAAAACTCAGTCCCTCTAATTAAGTATCGCATACTAATTAGTAAATCAATGATTATACTAAATAACTTTCTCAGAAGAATGACTAGAATTGTTAACAATAATCTAAACAAACAAAGGTCATTGTACTTTTAAGTTTTGGGCCAAAAGTCACTTTTGGTCCTTTTAGCTTGGCACTTCAATCACTTTTGACCCTGTAGTTTCAATTCCGTCAATTTTGCCATTGTAGTTTCGTATTTGTAGCAATTCAAGGACATGTTAGTATTCTTGTCAATTTCTTTGACGGTTTAAGGGGCAATTTCTTCAACTCAAAACCCTTGAGCGTAAAAACTTGTCTGAAATTCTCTCCATTTCATATTAGGGCTCGAAATTCAACCAGTAATCCCAATTTTTGAAGAACCCTAAACCCAAATGACCAATTTCAAGCCATAATATGAAATTAGGGTAGTTTCAGACGAGCTTTTATGCTCAAGGATTTTGGGTTGACGAAAGTGCCCCTTGCACCATCAAAGAAATTGACAGGAATATTAACTTGTCCTTGAATTGCTACAAATATGAAACTACATGGTCAAAATTGACGGAATTGAAACTACAGGGTCAAAAGTGGTTTAAGTGCCAAACTACAGGGACCAAAAGTGACTTTTAGCCTAAGTTTTGTCATAAATAACTTTTATTAGGGATGTCTTAATTAGTGCTTTTTTTCCCCATGAAGGGACCTTGGTTAATTATATCTTGCAACTTTACTTCCGTCCAAAGAAAATTCTCCATTTCATTTCTCAGGTTTGATTGTTGAAGAGCTAAAAGGGGAAGAGGACATAAAGAAAATTTGTCCCCAAGAGAAACAACCAGAAAGCAATATCAATATGAGTTCTGAATCTGATCAAACATCCCTTGACCCAAAAACAAAAAAAAAATCTGATCAAACATTAAGTGAGTGCTAGTCACTTCCAATTTATACGCTTTTTCATCACCACCACACATATTTACCACAAGTCTAATATAGTTTCTCCACTTCCAGCTAATTCATGGCGAAATATATGTTGTTCTCCCAGTCCAACTAAGAGAGGAAATAAAAACGAAGCTGCTAGAGATGCAGAGAATCCCCCACAAGGTAAGTTGGGTACCATAACGCGGGGGAGTTGGGTCAATTTTGTGTGGGGGAGAGAGAGAGAGAGAGAGAGAGAGGGGACTCAGAAACCATTTGTGAAAATAACTCTATAACAGCTCTAAGATATTACGAGTATCTTGATAAAATTAAGCATTTTTTCTGTTTTTTAAACTGCAGCTACGAACCAACGACCGGAGCAGGAAAGAAAAAGTCATCCCAATTATATTTATGCCTCATTTGTTAACTTTTTATGCTTAATCATCACGAAGGCCTTGGTAGAGATCGATCGTTTTTTGCCAAGTGGTCAGTATCAAAACTTTGTGGTGAATCCATTTACACTTTCGTTTATATTTGTACCAATGTTTTATCTCACCTAATAAACTTGCCACATCTAGATGTATACCATACCATGATCCCCCCTCCCACCCCAAAAGAGAATACCACTACAGATAATCCCATGAAATCAGTCGATCCCCCAAAATCAGCCTTGGCAGACTCTTCATCACAAGACCAACGGCATATCAGCTAGAATTGATTCATAATTTATTCTGGCATATATGAGATTTACTGTACTTACCTTGTATTGCTTATTTTCTGTAAATAGACTTGAGAAAGTCTACCCCCTGTACATTTGTTGTTTCAATTGCTCTACAGTTCTATCTCTCATCTTTTTTCTTCCTTCTTGAGTTTGGTTTCTTTCACCCCCAGGGGGGGTCGAGGGGGAAAGTTCTTTTAATTTAGAGTGTCATTTGTATTTCTAGGAATTTTGAGCATAGACAAAATCAACGGCGAGAAAAGGCGACATAAATGGGCTACTCAGGTCATGAAGGAATTGGTTAAGAATACTTCTTCATACATGTCTGAACAAACTCCCGGAGAAACTCGAGCAGTGGATGATGAAAGTTTTGAAGAAGTTCCTAATAAACCTGTTACCGAATCAGGGGAGGAGAGTAAGGGGTGTATTCAATTGAGATTTTAAAAGACTATTTAGGATTAAAAAAAGTCTTGCGGATTTAAGCAGAATATAGTTACTTATAGGATTTTTTTAATAGATTTCTATAATCAAGATTTTTTACTTATGAATTTTAAAGATTTCAATAATATGATTTATAAGATTTGAAAGGACCACGTAGATTTCTTTCGGGGTCGAAATAAGATTTTTTTAGAAACAATAGACCCTTATTAAAAATGAACCGTTAACATTGTATCAAAATCTATTTTTTGTTGTTGATAAAAGACGAAATTTCATTGAAACTCAAATAGGGGTACAATATTAAAACAAAATATCATGAATCAAAACAGAGGGTTCCTCGACCCAAACATAATCTTGACCACATGTCAGAGCATATCTTGCAAGTCTGTGGGCTACTTCATTACTGCTCCTTGGCACATGGTCAAGCCTTCTGATAACCAGAAAGGAGCTCTCCACAATCCTCATGAAGCCTACCCAAGACAGCTCCATTTGAGTCACTTTTGTTAACATCAAGTACAGTTGTTAAACCCCACGACACCACATTTCTCACAGGTTGTTCTACCCATGTGCAATTGTTAACATGTCGCCACACTCTGGCTCCAATTGCACAGGTTCCTCTGATGTCCACGACACCACATTTCTCACAGGCATTTCATCAAACGCCCTATAGGCAGTCTGTAACTCACTGCATCTACCATAAAACTTACCAAAGATCTTCCAATATACACATTGGCAACAAACCCACTTCTTATTTCTGTGCATGACGGAGAATCAACAGAGCTAGAATCAAACATGTCATCGAACAAAATTGAGATTTTTATTGGTGAATTAGAATCAGAGGGAAAAAAAACAGAAAAACAACTCTCTATGTGCCCCTCCATGTCTTCTATCTCGTCATCCCATCGCCCCACTGCCCCACCACAGAAAAATCAGAGAACAAAGTTGAGATTTTTATTGGTGAATTGGGGGGTTGAAGGTGATGGAGAATTCACAAGATTTTATTATGCAACAGAGAGGGAGATGGGGATGGAAGGAAGGTCGTTGCTTACACCCAACAGCAAGTAGCTCTAGGTATTGGTGGTTTGGTCGTCAGGGCCAGTGCACAACTGCTTGGGTGGAGGTCAAGGTGAGGAAGGAATGAATAAAAAAAGTCCCACGTGAAAATCTGATGGGTTGAGGTGGGATTTGAGATAGGGTTTGGTATTTATACCTCTCACTAAAAAATCTCACACATTCCTTATTTTAAAAAATCCTTCAAAATTTGCAAATTTTTGAATACCATGAGACTTTTTTTTACTTGTTTAAAGTCTTGATTGAATACCACCAGATTTAGTAACCCTCTTTAAAAAATCCTAATAGTCTTAATGGAATACCCCAAGACTTTTTAGATTATTTAAAAATCTTAATTGAATACCACAAGACTTATTTATCTTAAAATAGTCTTTTAAAATCCCAATTGAATACACCCCTAAAAGTACAAGTGATAAGAAGAAAGACAAAGATAAGAATAATGAAACTGATGCGAAAGTGAAAAGGCAAACACCTATATTAATTGCAGCAAAGATGGGAGTAAGTGAAATGGTTGACGAAATCTTAGAACATTATCCAGTGGCTATCCAGGATGTGGACTCAGAAAACAAGAATGTTGCACTCTTGGCAGTTGAGAACAGGCAACCCCATGTTTACAAATTGCTGCTAAAGAGAGAGAAGCAAATCGAAAGCTTGTTACGTCAGGTGGACAAGACAGGTAACAATGCATTGCATCTTGCTGCTAAATATGGAAGTTATCGGCCATGGCTTACTCCAGGTGCCGCACTACAAATGCAGTGGGAACTCAAGTGGTTCACGGTATGTACGCTATCGATATCTAACTACTTTACACTACATTTTTCAGTACTAGTCTTTTGTTGGCAAGCAATAATGAGAATAGCTTGTGGGGATTGACAATTATGTATTTATTAATTTTAATGCTTTTTTTTTTGTCATTTGCTAGGGAGGGGGAGGGGGACGCTCTGAACCATAGATATTTAAGCCTTCTTTCAACTATCATCGTTTAAAACAAAAATTAGGAAAATTGAAAATCATTCAAACATCTTATCATGATCAAAATGCAATATTTCAACTAAACACTGAAAGTTCATGATAATGATCAAATAATTAAATCTTTTTTAATTAATTTTTTTTTCCTATTTATACAAATGATATTCTACTTTAATTTAATTTAAATTACGGGGAGGGGAATTCGAACTCGGTTGCAAAGTAGGAGCACATCAGCTGTAGCCAACTTGACTAAATTCATGTCTGCTTTTTGAATAAAGATTTGAAAACTAGATGGTCCTATTCAATTACTATGTGCAAGAAATTGGGAATATATCTCGGGCCTATAATTATGTATATATGATAGGGTTTGATTAATGGACATCTTAATATCAACATTACTCTTTGATTAGTATTATAACTATAGGCTTTGATTAATCTTTGATTGTACATGATCGACCTTTCGAAGAGTAAAGTTAAATCTTTGTCTTGCATGCATGCAGTTTGTCCAAACTTCCATGCCATCCCATCTATCTGTTCGCTCCAACATTGAAGGTCAGACACCCAAGGAGATCTTCACAACTTCACACAAACCTCTGCAAAAAGAAGGCAGTAATTGGCTCGTCAAAACCTCCGAGTCATGCTCTGTCGTCGCTGCGCTCATTGCTACTGTTGCATTTGCAACATCAGCAACTGTACCAGGAGGACTCGATAATGAAACGGGTGAACCGGTTTTCAAAGACAAGCCAGCGTTCGATGCCTTCACCATCTCATCACTGGTTTCTCTCTGCTTGTCAGTAACTGCCTTGGTCTTCTTTCTTTCCATTATTACATCTCGATACGAAGCACATGATTTTTCCATCAACTTGCCCCGGAAACTTTTGCTGGGTTTAACATCACTCTTCGCATCGATAGCATCCGTGTTAGTCTCATTTTGTACCGGCCATCTTTTTCTCCTTGATCGACAACTGAGATATGTGGCATATCCATTATATGCAGCGACTTGCTTGCCGGTTACCATTTTCGCTCTTGCCCAGTTGCCCCTCTACTATGATCTCATAAGGGTCATGTTCGGAAAGGTTCCACAGCGTAGCTACAAGGAATATAGACACTATTAACTTAACTGGGACTCGACTCGATCATCTATTGCCGCTATAATTAAAATTGTGTTTTTCCAATATAGTCTTCTTTTCTTTTTCTTTTTTTGGGAGGAAACAATTATTGGTTTCAGTGTGTCTTGTTTGAAATTTGTTTCCAGAGTGCGGTGAGGTTAATGTAAGAAGTGTGTGCCCTAATTAAAACTAAGTCATATGATGTAATGTTAACTTCAAGAATAAAAAGATGAAGAATAAACAAAAATTGTTTTTACCAAATAATATGCCTGATCTCTCATAATTGTATGCCATATATAAAAGATAAGAACTAGGGCTTAGGGTTAAAAAGAAGTACTTACACTTCTTGCTTTTTCTCCACAAACGCTTCCCCCCTCTAGTTGCATAGTAGTTAGTGTATGCCGACGACAATATCCACACAGGCCAACCTAGTATACGTGTAGATGCGACAGCATCAGAATTTTGACCCAAAGACAGAAATAAAAAAAATACTACAAAGCCCTGAGGGGCACTGCACCTATATGGGAGGCGCGTGGCCGTGTGTGTCAGAGAGAGAGAGTTGAGAGCAATTTTGTTGGGGTTTTAGAATTACCTCAAGTGTGGTGAGATACCATTTATTTATAGTCAGTCCCCTTGTTTGGCTAGGATTTGAAGAATAATTCTTCATTTAATTGGAATTATTCTTATCCAAAAATAGGTGATAGGATTAATCAAGTTGATTTTGTGGAAATCTTCATCCTTGATTTAGGGAGATATTCCTATTTTAAATAAAAACTAATTATCTAATTAAATCTTATTTAATTAGGATAATTAATTGACTTAAGGAATATTCCTTTTTCCACATGTCACCTTGTGATTTGTTGCCAAAATTCATGTTCCACAAATGCCCTCCCAGTTTCTGCATGGCATGGAGGAGATGTGAAATATTTATTGGGCTTCCTAATTGTATTTGGGCTCCTTATGTGAGTTGGGTTCTTTTTGTGAATTGGGCTTCAGGCTGGAGGAGGATTTTTGTTTCCATCTTGGAATTGGGCTCGTGATTGGAATAGGCTTTTGAGATTCCTTCTTGATCAAGGATGTCCGACCAATATAAATAAGGGAGTTTCACTAAAATACCCAAAATGAGGGCTGAAATTATAAAAATACCCAACACCCAAAACACTTTATAAACATACCAAAAACTCATCATTACACACACTCAAAACCCATTTATAAACATACCCAAAACCCATCATTACACACATACCCAAAACTCATTTTGGGTATGTTTCTATGTTTAAATAGTGCTTGGGTATTTTTATAAATAAATGTCTAGGATTGGGTATTTTTATAAATATCTATATAAATAAGGGCTCCTCTTCTTGACTCTACACCTTGCAATTTCATCTTCCTCTACTTTCTAACTTATGTGAAGTGAAAGATTTTGGAGGAGACAATTTTTGTCGTGGAGGAGAAGAGCTACCCTATATTCCAGGGGAAGCTTTTTTTTTTTCCTTCTTCTGTTCTCAGCAAGGACTAGCCAGCAAGGCTTGTGGGTTGTCGCCTGGATTGCGAGCAGCTGTTGGCCTCGGCTGGTGTCTTGCGCTAGCTGCCGTGTTGGGGGAACCAACCTCAAGCTGGTTGCACGGCGACCACACGGCTGTGGCTCATGCAGCTGTTTTTCCCTCAATTTTTTTGTTGCTGGAGCAGGCGCTAGAACCCAGACCGCACCGAGGCTTGATGGGTCGAGCCCGACCGAGCTGCAGGTCGACAAGGTGTGGGCGCCAAAGCAGATCGGGGTGCTCTGGTGCCTTGGGCCTTGCTGGTGCCGCATTCTGAGGCTGTTCTGGTCTGCATTTGCTGCTTGGACCGTGATTGTGGCTTGGGTTGTGCTTGCGGCTCAGGCCGAATGGGCCTTTTTTATTTTTTTTGAGCTGCAAGCTACGTAGTTTTTTTTTTCTTTTGCAGTATTGACTTGCAATTCCTGACTTGCGACTTTGATATGCTTCCACTCTTTCTTTTTTCTTAGTTGCTCAGCTGTCATGTCGTCTGAGGAAGGAAGTCGATCATCTGGTTCACAAGTGCCTTTATATTTGTGGGGTGGGGTGGCTCTAGGGTTCATAAGAAGAGGTTCATGGCCAACTTGCACAACATTATGGATGAGACACAATTTCAAAAGTGGCGATCCAATTCTTATCTGCCATACCCAGCAATGTGCATGTGAGGTTCGCAGAGCCTTTGATAGATGACGTGGCTCTTGTGGATCCGAACGACTCGGACGCAAGGATCATCACGTTTCATTCATTCTATTTCTCTTTGGGTTTCAAGTTCCCTTTGTCAAGATTCTTCAAGAAAGTGTTCCATGCCATGAAGTGCGCTCCCAGCCAGTGTAACCCAAACGTCTACCATGCTATGATATGCTTTGGGAATCTAAATCACTTCTTTAGGTTGGGCTTAACTTTGCTGGAGTTTTTCTACTTCTTTGAAGTAAGGCGTAGTGAGAAGTTCGTCCAACTTCGAGCACACAAAAAAGAATTAAACTATAGGAAGCCACTAAATTATATTTTGTTAAAAAAAAAAATAGTTAAAATTAACTAAAAGTTTAAACTATGCATAAAACAAAGCAGCATTAAATTATAGGAAGCCACTAGGAATCATTCCTCTCTCATCATATTTAGGAGCTTCTAGAAGTCTTCATATTTTAGGTGTTGGATAAGGAGCATGATTGGAGTAGTATTTTTCCAATTCCTCCCTAAAATTTTTCTAAATATGTGGTTTAGAGAGCCCATTATGGATGCTCTAATATTTTATGTTATTTTTTGCTAGCAATGTCTACTGAATAGATAAAGAATAGCCATCAATTTGAAAGAAAAATTGACGGATTTAACTACACATGAGACAATTTGGAGCGCATACATGTGGGATGCAGGCGAGTCTCCAAGATACCCCCTACATATCACATCTAGATTAGCTGTGGTCCACTTTGCACCTGACCTGAATGACTCATCACAAGTCTCAATTTGCCGGCAGAAGAGAACCCATCCAATTAGGCAAATTACAAACAATATTTGGTGTAATTGAAAGTAGAAGCCAAAAAGACGTATGAATGACATCCTTGTTTTCTAGACTAACCATTAGTGCTTTGCTCTTATAGATGGCAGACAATTTACCTTTAGATTTTGGGCAAATGGGTTTTGTAATTGGGTCAAATCAAGCATCTTTCTTAATATTCAAGTCATTAAGAAAAAATAAAAAATGGATTTAGTTTACGCAAACACTGTTTGCATTTTTTTTTCTTTTTGGTCTAAGTGTTAAAAGTTTGTTGGGGGATGAATTTGGGCTTCGGCCTATTAGAAAATGAATACAGAAAAGTTCTATTAGGAAAAATTAATTTCAATGGGCTTAAGACAAGGCTGAAAACAGAAGAAGGTGAAATGAAATTGGCTCAAGCCTGTTTTATTGAATAAAATTTTGGACTCAGGCCCAAACTGAAAAACCGCAAGAAGCGGACAGGTCCAAATTGGTTTGATTCTCCCAATAATTTTAGGTCAAAACAGGATTAAACCAGATTTCGCCCAGCCCCAATTACAAGGCCTCTAGTGTAGGAGAATGCACACAAGAAGGCTGATAAGTGATGACGAGGAGGAATATAAATAAATTACTATACTACTACGTACGTACCAGCTTTGTCTTCCTCTGTCGGACAACAAGTATGAGGATGAATGTGAAGGGACAGGGCACATTTTACGAGGTGAGGCGGGTTGGTAGTCAGAGAGGGTCTTGTTATTGACGTAGAGTCACGTAGGTATCCTATGAAGTCCACGTGTCGAGATTCTATTGGGCGGATGGGCTCGGCAAGTGCCCAGCGTCAACAAGAAGTATGAGGATGAACATGACAGGAGATCAACAAAGTGATAACTTGATAGGTAAGCATATATTTCATGAATCACATTTCATGAGCAGAGCACAGCACAATCATAAGCATGGCTTGCACAATTTAGCAATTTGATTGCTTTTTGGGTACAATTGGGCTACCTAGCTTAGGACTTTAAACGTCGTCATTTTGAAGTTTCCTGTTACTTTAGACAACCAAGTACGATCAACTTGACTTGACAGGAGAACATAATGATAACTTGTTATTTCATGAGTCACATTTCATGAGTTCTACTTGTATATGGACAAGCATCCGCTTTACGATTTCGCTTTTGATTGCTTTTATTTTTCTCTTTTGTTTTTCGGTATACAAGGCTTTTATCGCGCTTGGAGTTGGAAGGAACAAAGCAATTAATGCCTTCCTTCTCAGAAAATATATAAAGAATGAGCACAGTCCAAGATATCTTCTTTTTTTTTTTTTGGAAAATTAGCGATAACATTCCAAGATATCTTTTGTCCCGAGTTCTCTGCCATATTCCTTTTTTTTTTTTTTTTGTGGAGAGCAGATGCTTCTAGAAAAAAAAAAAAAAAGAAATTAGTTATTAATCAAAGTTAGTTAATTGGAGATAATTAACCTCTACTCCATCAGCATAAAATAAGTAACAGCGAACAATATTGTATCAAACAAATTTCAAATTCATGCACCACTATATATAACTTAATACAGCATAAACATTAGCATATATTTTATACATATGTACACGCAATGAGATTTCATGATCCGAACTATATCTCTATTTTTTAATGCTCTCTTCACACATCATTCTTGAAAAAAATAAGTAAATTTCTTACTGGTCACTTAAATCTAATGAATTATAAATGGATGAACACTGACGTTCAATAAAAACACTAATATAATCCTATGTACGTACGGTATGATGATTAAATGGCTAATCAATTTTTTATCTTTAAAAGAAAACTTAATTATAAAAAAAAACCACTATAAATGAATGTATATATAACAGTTCTCTACCGTGGTGTCACAAACGCTTTCTTTGCTACTAGCTTCTCTGCACGCGCTTCCGCACCTGCGAGAGGCTTTTTTTAAAAAAATTAAAATTTATTTTAGAATTAAAAAAGATAATGGGTAGTTGTGTTCCATACAAATAAGCCATTATCTGATTTTTCTTTTAATTTTAATTTTTTAAAATATGAAAAAGTGTGAATTTACCATATTATCCTCATTTAATTAATAATTTCAATTCTTAATGTTTGCATTAACTAAGGGCATTTTCTGGTATTTTGAATGTTTCACCATTCTCTGCCTTTTGCTATATATATATAGATATATAAAGCAAAAGATAGAGAATGGTAAAAATATTATTTTTTTACTTCTTCTTCTGCCATTGGAACCACCTCAACCAAAACACCAACCACCACCAAGAACAAGCATACAATCACACCCAATGAGCCTGCAGCCTTCATGATTTTTTTTTTTTTTTTTTGCTTCTTCTTCTTTTCTTTGTTGCTTTTTGTGTGGCAAAACTTCCCCGTTTTATAGATTGTGAAGAGGGTTAAATTTGGGAGGAAACCCAACTGTTGCCCTATCAACTTTGATATTTACCACAAACACAGCCCCTGGATTGTGTGAGGTACTAGGAAGTTTTGAAGTGCACCAGTCAATGGGAACTTCATTTTATGGTCAACAAGTGTTTATTAATTGTGCGAGAGAGACGACTTGTCTAATTGTTTGGGTAAATATCACAAAATGAACTTGACTAAAAACGTCGCTAAACTCTTTGTGGAACAGTATCTCCAAGAAGAAAAAGAAAAAGGAACCGCACAGACAGAAAGAAAGAAAACTAGTATGTGAAGAAAGGAAACTAGAAATGTGAAACCAAGGAGGACAAATTTGACGCGTTCAGATCAAACCAAACAGAAAAAAAGGCAACAAAGAGGAGAGACAAAATTGACGTGTAATGGGCTCCAAAAATTGAAGGTTTTTAATATTGTTGCATGGACATGGCCCTTCTAGGAAGCCACTCAAGAGAGGAGTCATTCTAGAGAATTCTCATGATTTGCGTATCACCAAAATGGGGGACACTGCTCTACATATCGCTGCTTCGGATAGAGAAACAAAAATTGTACTGGATTTGCTGGAGATCATTGGAGAAAATGCATTGAAGATAAAAAATAACAAAGGCAACACACCTCTCCATTTAGCTGCTGTAGTGGGGGATGTGGAAACGTGTCATGCAATGGCCACCAAATACCCCAAACTCGTGTCGTCTCGCAACAATGAGAATGCGACCCCTCTCTTCTTGGCAGCTCTTAATGGGCATGAGAAGGTTTTTCTTTGCCTTCATACTCACTGTGATGAAAAAAGATGCTATTCGTTTAGAACAAGTAATGCTGATACCATTCTCCATGCAGCTATGTCGGGTGAATACTTCAGTAAGTGTGTGGCCATGCCCGGTGCCCAGTACTGCTTAAATATTAATTTAATTTGATTTCATTATTAATTTAATTTCTTTTTAAATGTATAGGTTTGGCATTCTGGATAATTGAGCGGCACCCAGATCTTGCTAATTCTTTGAATCAGGGAAGTTTATCTCCCCTCCATATTCTAGCCAATACTCCATCAGCATTCAAAAGCAGTAGCCGCCTTTCACTGTTGGATCGTCTCATATACCAATGTAAGAATCTCTAACGGTAACGATCAAGCTTTTGGAATTATTTCATGGTATGCATTATATACAACAACAAATATGCATAACGCATAGGAAAATGCTTTTTTTTTTTAATCACCTCAGTAATAGGTACGTAAGATGTTTTTTAGGTTACCCTTTTAATTTATGTACCTCCTTTATAGATACGTAAGAAAATTTTCCATTTCATTTCTCAGTTTTAATTGTTGAAGAGCTAAAAGGGGGAAAAGAGGACAAAAAATTTATTTGTCCCCTCCAGAAAAGAGGAAGAAAAATCATCAATACGGGTTCTGAATCTCATCAAGCATTATGTGAGTGCTCGTCACTTATCCAATTTTTATGTTGCTTTTTTATCACCGTACATATTTACTTACCACAAGTCTAATAGTTTCTCCATTTAATTCCAGCTAAATCATGGGGAAATAAGATGTGTTCTTCTCTATGTCTACCTAAGAGAGGAAATAAAAACGAAGATGTTAGAGATGCAGAGAATCCCCAACAAAATAACAGCTCAAGGCAAGGTAAGTTGGGTAATAGGACTTATGTTACAATTAGACCCGATAACCAAAAACCCGATAACCAATTAGTCGATTACCTAGACTGATCGGTCACTCACACTGCCACAAAAACGGATGAGGAGTTGCCGGTCCTCCAAAAACTGATGACAGTCGGAGCCCTGTACTGTAATGTACCAGACTTGAATCATGGCTCCAAACTTTATGTCCAAATTGAGAGCCAATTCACAACAAATATATAGCATCCTTCGAATTATCCCCAACTGCACCAAGTGCATCTTTTAAGAGTCAATAATTCAATTCTAAGATATATATATATATATATATATATATTATTAATACAATATGTTTAAGACTGTCTTTTGGATGCTCATTATTTTAGCATTGTTTTCCTTCCTCTTTTTCCAACTGCAGTTACAAACCAACGAGAAAAACGAGGGAGAGAAAGTCATCCCAATTATATTTATGCATCATTTGTTAAAATTTTCTACTTAATCACGGAGGCTTTGCTAGGGATGTATCGTTTTCTGCGAGGACTTTTGGGTGAATCCATTTACACTTTCGTTTATATATATCAATTTATACCAATGCTTTCTCCCAATAAACTTGCCCATATATAAAATAAAAAGCATCGTTATAATTGAAAGAAAATTAATGTAATAGAGAAAAATCAATACATATTTATAGAGTGCTTTTAATTGACAATGTCATTTGTGTTTCTAGGAATTTCGAGCATACAGAAAATCCACCAAGACAAAAGGAAACATAAATGGGCTACTCAGGTCATGAATAAATTGCTTGACCGAACTTCTTCATACATGTATGCACAAAATCCCAAAGAAACTCGACCAACATATGAAACAAAAATTGGACGAATTCCTAAACCTCCCGAATTAGAGGAGCCCAAATTAGAGGAGGAAAGTGGGTCTACGATGAAAATGAAAAGGCAGCTGATGACACCAATATTAATTGCAGCAAAGATGGGAGTGAGCGAAATGGTGGAGAAAATCCTAATAAAATTTCCAGTGGCTATTCACGATGTGGACTCAGAAAACAAGAATGTTGCGCTCCTGGCAATTGAGAACAGGCAATCCCATGTTTTCAAGTTACTGCTGAAGAAGAAATCAATCGCAAGCTTGTTACGTCAGGTGGACAACAAAGGCAACAATGCATTGCATCTTGCTGCTAAATGTGGAAGTTATCGGCCATGGCATACTCCAGGTGCGGCACTGCAAATGCAGTGGGAACTCAAGTGGTATATGGTATGTACACTATTATTGATATTCATATATATATATATATATATATATATAGGTTTTGATACTTAATCTTTAATTAATATCTTGTCAAACTCGGCTCAAACAACTAAGGTCATTGAACATGATCGATCCTTTAAGCGTACTATACCGTACGTAGTAAAAAGTTAATAGCAAATGTGGCTTTTCCCCTTCAAATTAATGTTTTCTTAACTACAATCCATCGTCTTATTTTTCTATGAAGAAAACCCAATTTATTATAAGTAAATTCTGGTGTCTAGGATCCAACTCAGCAAGTTACCTAATTAAGTTTAAAATCTGATTTATTGTGCTTTTCATATTCCAAAAGTACCCCTAAATAGAGTTTGCCCTATTATGTGGCTGTATTAAATGTTAGTTTCCTCAATTTATTGTGTTGATTTCTTTCCTCCTAAATTTAGAATTTATTGCAAATTTGAGTACTCACACATTAAGAGATTTTCTATTTAAACCACATACTTCTCTTAGTTCACCCCAATACTTAAATTATTAAGCTGTAAGTTTTATTATTGTGTAAAAAGACAAAAAAATCATTCAACTTAATACTTAACCCTATACACACACCCCACACACCCCACAACTCTTCAAAAGACACGAAATCAGGGAAGTTTTCTTCATATTATATTAATTGACATACACTTTCAAAAGACACGAAACCAGGGAAGCCACACAGGTGGTCAG